CGGAGGTAGAGGGGGAATCTCAAGCAGACTCCATGCTGAGCATGGAGCCTAACACAGGGCTCGATCCCTTGACCCTGAGATCATGACCTGAGCTGAAACTAAGAGTCAGACGTTTAACCGACTGAGCCACCCAGGTGTCCCAAAGCTCAGGCTCTTGAGTCAGGCTGTCTGACTTGTCTGGGTTCAAATCCCACCACCCCTACTTACTAGTGGATGACTTTAGGCAATTAACACTTCTTCTGTGCCTCAGTTTCCTCCTGAAGATGGGGATAATAAAAGTGGCTGCCTCCTGGGGCAGCTGAGAGACTCAAATGATATAACACATGTGAAGTGCTTAAAACAAGCTGGGCACGCAGTGGTCATTCAATAAATGCTGGAATGTACTTACTGAACACCAGCCGTGTACCAGGCAGTGTGCAAGATCCTTGGCATATTTCATCAACCACTCACAACAACCTCTGGGGTATCTATAATCCCCGTTTTCGATGGGGGAAAAAGACTCTGAAGGGTAAAGTGACTTGCCCAAGGTCACCCATCTAGGAAGCAGCAGGGTTCTGAGAGCAAGGATCTATTATGAGTGCTCCTGTCCAGACGAGGAACCCTGAAGAAGCACGTGCTGCGAGGTTATAATGACAAATCACACTTGCTGAGTGCAGGGCAGGGCTCAGCACCTTGCGTGCGGGAGGTGACAAGGATGAGAAATGAGGTCCAGAGAGCTGCAGTTGCTTGCTCAGAGACTCACAACCTATAAGCCAAAGGGCCAGATTTGACCCCAGGAAGTCTAGTACACTACCACAATTTGGGGGTCCCCAAGCCCACCCTCAGTTTCAATGATGCCCTAGAAGGACTCACAGAAAAGCTGTTCTACTCACAGTTACATTTTATTACAGCAAAAGGATGGAAGTTAAAATCAGCAAAGGAAAAGACACATAGAATAGGGTCCAGGAGAGACCAGGTGTGAGCTTCCAGTCTCAGTCACATAGACATGGCTTACTGTCCGTGGGGCTGAACTTCACCTCCAGCCCCTCCAGAGGCCAAGTCCTTTCTTAGTTCTTCCTATGTTCAGGAGGCTGGAAAGCCCTTGCTCTGCTCTTTAGCACGTGCCACCCGGCCCCTCCGCTGATCTGCTGTGGGACTCTATACAGGAAACTTTGTATCTATTGACCTCAGTTTCCTTTTGTGGAAAACAGGCATACTAATGTTGCCAACCTCCTAGGGTGCCTGTCAGGCGTAAGTAAGCTAATGCCAATAAAGTGCTTAGGGGTCTGCAACATAGTAACCACTCAGTAAATGTCTACCTTTATATTCTGCTATGCCATTTACCTCCTGCACTCCTCAGTACCATAGTTGAGAGGCAGGACTGATTTTTCCTATTTGGCAAATGGGGAATGTAAGGCTCAGAGTGCTTAAGATACGTTCCCAAGGCCACACAGCAGACCGAGATTTGAACCCTGACCTGCCTAACTGCCTCATGCAGCCTCCTCTCTCCTTGATCACCTCTGAGCATTTTGGAGGACGTTGGTTATACCTCAGATGGTGTGTCCTCTTAAGGAGAGGCAGCATGGGCTAGTGATAAAGAATCACATCTGAAGACAGACTGCTCTTTCAAATCCCAGATCTGTCACTTACTACCTGTGCAGCATAATACAAGTCACTCAGCCTGTCTGTGCCTCAGTTTCCTTATCTTTAGAATGGTTATATAGAGATACCGACCTTGTGGGGTCCTGGAGTTTAAGTAATGTATGTAAAGTGCTTAGGACAATGCATGGCAAATGCTAGAGGCTAGCTTTTTGGGGACAGCAGTGGGAGGATAAACTGTGACCCCATCCTGACCCCTGACCTTTGTCTTCACTCTCTCCAGACATCTCCGTGAGCCTGCTGTCGGTCATCGTGACATTCTGTGGCATTGTCCTTCTGGGCGTCTCCCTCTTCGTGTCCTGGAAATTGTGCTGGGTGCCCTGGCGGGACAAGGGAGGCTCAGCAGTGGGCGGGGGCCCCCTGCGCAAAGACCTAGGCCCTGGGGTCGGGCTGGCAGGCCTGGTAGGTGGTGGTGGGCACCACCTGGGGGCTGGCCTGGGTGGCCATCCTCTGCTGGGGGGTCCACACCACCATGCCCACACTGCCCACCATCCGCCCTTCGCTGAGCTGCTGGAGCCAGGCAGCCTGGGGGGCTCTGACCCCCCTGAGCCCTCCTACTTGGACATGGACTCATACCCAGAGGCTGCGGCAGCTGCAGTGGCCGCTGGGGTCAAACCGAGCCAGACATCTCCTGAACTGCCCTCTGAGGGAGGTGCAGGCTCTGGGCTGCTCCTGCTGCCCCCCAGTGGTGGGGGCTTGCCCAGTGCCCAGTCGCATCAGCAGGTCACAAGCCTGGCACCCACCACCAGGTGAGACAGGCTACTGGGCTGGGGGTCCACTCTGAACTTCTGTTCCTCCTCTGTGTCTCTTTCCCAGATATGGTTCTTCTGAGCCCTGCAAGAGGAGAGGCCTAGAGGTCTGGAGTCCTGAGTCCTGGGGCAGGAAGGGGCTTGGGGTGTGGACTCCTAGGTCCTGGGGATAGAGGAGGTTAGGGCTCCAGACTTCAGGATCTAAGGGAGGAGGAACCTAGAGATCTGTACTCAGATTCAGAGGGTATAGGACTCCGGGGTCAGGAAGGTGGAGGAGAATGATTAGACTCCCAAGGCCCTGAGACAGAAAGCAATTCATCTGTTTCAGCCTAAGCCAGGGGTGGTGGGGCCTGGAGCTCATTTGTTCTGTATTCCTCATTCTACACATGTATATCGAGCACCTAATATGAACCAGATCTGAGATGGGTGTTGGAAAAACAGAAGTGAGCATGGCAAATAGACTCTGCCCTCATGCCACTTACAATCCAAGGGAAGTGGGTCCCCAGAGAGGCTGTCCCCACCCACCCAGGCCAGCGCTGCCGGAAAGTGGCTTAGGGGGCCACAGCTGTGGGAGTCTGAGGAGTCGATGACCTGGTCTGGGAAGAGGCTGGGGCCTTCCAGAGGTGGAGGTGTTGTGGCTGAGACCTGCAGAGTGAGGAAGTGTTGGTCAGGCACAGAGGTAGGGGTGTGAGCTGGGCATTCCAGGAGGAGAGAGCGGCCCATGCAAAGGCAAGAGGGGTAGGAGGTCACAGTGCATTGTGGAAATTGCCAGCAGTCACTATGGCCTGAGAGTAAGTGTGAAAAAAGAAAGGTAGGGAGATGTGGCTTAGGATGTGGGCAGGGCCAGACCACATGGGGCCTTGAATGCGGGGCTGAGGGACTGGGACTTTGTCCTGGGGGCACTGGGGAGCCATGGAGGGCTGTGAGCAGGAGGGGCAGGGTTAGTTCTGGGTGTAGAAAGACCTCTCTGTGGCCACACAAGGGAAGGACTAGAGGGACAGACTGGAGGCCAATAGTCCAGGCAGGAGAGGACGAGGCTGAGCTGAGATTATGGGCATGGGGATGAGAGGAGGAGATAAAGAGAGTCAGAGGGCAGAAGAGGTGAGACCTGAGACTGATGGCTGTGGGTGGGTAGGAGGTGGGTGGGTAGGAGGGGTAGGAAGAGGTACAGAAGGCCTCCAGCCTGGCCTGGTGATTGGGTGGATGGTGGGGCTGTCAGAGGATCTAGGAAGAGGAATGGATTTGAGGGAGCCCCTGAGCTTATCTGGGTCTTGTTGAGTGTGAGGGGCCTGGGGCAGCATCCGGAGAAACTGCCCTCAGAGGGATTGTCTTCGGCCCCAGAAGTTCATGGTAGAAGGTGTTCTCATCCCAGGGTCTGGCCAGGGGCCCAGGGGTTCATGGGAGATGAAGTTTGGGGTCTCTGGGGAGGCCTTTCAAAGGCGGACGGATACACTGGTCTGAGCTCTTTCCCCTCCCCATTATACAGATGGAGAAACTGAGGCTGAGAGGGTATTCCTGACCTGCTCAAAGTCACCCTGGGAGCAAGGAGTGGCCGGGGGATCTGTAGCTGAAGGAGCCTCCCCCACCACATCCCTTTCCACGGCTCAAGCCCTCCCACTTCCTCACCTCTTCTGCCCCTTTCTACGGCTCGAGCCCTCCCGCTTCCCCCATGCCTGCCTCTCAGCACACCTGAGGCTGCCGAGCACTGCCCATCGCTAGGGGCCCCATCACATGGACTTCACCCCGGGTGTGATGGTCCTTGCAGGAGAGGGCAGATGAGCTGGGATCACGGGTGGGGAAATTTGGGAGAGGGGAGGGAAAGGTTTTGAGGGGACAGGAGGTGAGGATGGCTTCAGTGTCTGACCTGCAGATCTAGGGGGAGCACAGGGGAGGAGGAGCGGGTTGGGGAGAAGGTGCTGAGCTGGGCAGGGAATGAGGGGTGTGCGGGGTCTGGTGGACTGCTGAGGCTGAGGGCCAATCCAGGCTGGAGCCCAGGAGACAGATATAGCAGATTTAGCAGGCTGCTGATGGGTGTGGAAACCTGGGGTGCAGATGAGCTTGTCCAGAGAAAAGGTGTGTGTGTGAGAGGGGAGAAGGAGCCGGGGTGGCTGAGGGGAGAGCTCTGGGCTTCCAGAGTGTCCCCCACACACGTTTGGACACTGGAGAAGGGAGTTGAGAAAGGACAGGCCAGGTGGAGTGATGGTGAGGTGGGAGAGGTGAGACTGGGGTTAAGATAGGCTGGGGGGATTTGAAGAAGGGCAGGTGAAGGTTCAGGAGGTCTGGGTTGTGTGGGGCCCCAGGGGTCCATGAACAAGTTATTCTGGGTCACGCACTTGAAGTCAGGAGGAAGTTGGAAGCTTCTGGAAGTTGATTCATAAGCAGGTCCTAGTTGGAGCTAGCTTAGAGATGGGGATACCCCCCAATACAGGTGGAGAAACTGAGGCTCAGAGAGTGCAAGTGCCTTGCTCAAGGTCATAGTGAGCAAAAATGCAGATCTGTGGCCATTTGGCTGTGACCCTTGGGAAAGAGGCAGGGAGGAGTCTCTCAGGTCTTCAGATGCTGTCAAAGACCCCAGCCAGTGACCCCACCTTGGTCTTCCCCACTCCCCACAGGTATCCAGCCCTACCCCGGCCCCTCACCCAGCAGACCCTGACCCCCCAGCCGGACCCTGGCAGTGACGAGCGGCCACCTGCCCTGCCCTTACCCTTGCCAGGCGGGGAGGAAAAAGCCAAACTCATCGGGCAGATCAAGCCGGAGCTGTACCAGGGGACTGGACCAGGCGGCCGGCGCGGTGGTGGGGCCCCGGGCTCTGGAGAGGCCGGCGTGGGGGCGCCCTGCGGCCGCATCAGTTTCGCCCTGCGGTACCTCTATGGCTCAGACCAGCTGGTGGTACGGATCCTGCAGGCCTTGGACCTCCCAGCCAAGGACTCCAACGGCTTCTCCGACCCCTACGTCAAGATCTACCTGCTGCCAGACCGCAAGAAAAAGTTCCAGACCAAGGTCCGGAGTGAGGGTCCTGGACATCCAGGAGGAGGGGGTGGGAGTCGGAACTCCTGGGTCTGAGGGAGGAGGAGCTGGGGGTCTGGACTCCTGGGTCCTTTGGAAGCAGGGTTGATGGGCATGGTGTCTCTCTCCTCCCCTCGCCCATCCCCTCCAGGTGCACAGGAAGACGCTGAACCCTGTGTTCAACGAGACATTCCAGTTCTCAGTGCCCCTGGCTGAGCTGGCCCAGCGCAAACTGCACTTCAGCGTCTATGACTTTGACCGTTTCTCGCGGCACGACCTCATCGGCCAAGTGGTGCTGGACAACCTCCTGGAGCTGGCTGAGCAGCCCCCTGACCGCCCACTATGGAGGGACATCATTGAGGGTGGCTCGGTCAGTGGCCCCTGCATCCCTCTTCTTGGGGACCCAGGACCACTCAGTGTTTGACTTCTTTGCCCTTGGACTTCATAACCTTCTAACTTCTTGACCCAGGCTTTTTAAAAATTTATTTTATTGCAAAATATTGCAAACATACAAGCAAAGTGTAGAGATAGATATAATGGGACCCCATCTCCCGGACACCCTGTCAAATATTGACATCATGCCTGGACCCCAGATCTCCCAACTTCTGACCCCCTTTCACATCTGATGGTAACAGTTGAGAAATATAACAGACACCCCTGTACCCACCAGCCACTTTATCATAACTTCATGCTGTGACCCCAAATTCCTGACCCTCCAACTGTCTGACCCCAGAGTTACCAGCTTTTGTTTTTCTGACTTCCTTCAACTTCCAACCTCCTGGCTTTCCAATTCCCAAGCTTCCTGAACCCCCAAACCCTCTGATCTCTGAACATTTTACGTTTCAAACCCTTGACCTCCAGATCTCATCCTCTGCTCTCCACCCAGCTCCTGATAGCCTGATCCCCCAAGCATCAGACATACTTGGATCCTCTATATCCTGACATCCCCTGTTCCCCCAGTCACCAGATTGTGCCCGGTAGCCTCCCCCCACCCCGGCCCCCTTCCTCTTCCATCCAATCGCTCCCCAAGCCTGGCTCCTACGCGCTTGTTGGAGGTCCTGACCCTCTCCCTGCCTCCATCCTGTCTCCTGCTTGTGTGTATCATGTCTCATTCTCTCCACCCCCCTTATTATCACTGGAGGTCTTCACTCATTCATTCATTTATTCATTCATTCATTCCTTAAACAACTGGCTTTTTTGTTTCAGGATCAGGACCCGGGGACCCCAGACAGTCCTTGGGAGCTCCAGGTCTAGGTTGTCACAGTTTGCTGTCAGGGGCAGTGAGTGGGGAGTCCAGGGACCTGGGCTTTGGTCAGTGTGGTTGGGAGGCCAGGGGACCAGATGAGGCTGAAGAGCCGGGCAGGGCAGGTCGGAAGCCCTGGCTAGCTCAGCGCCCCCTTCCAGGTGTCTCTCTGTGTGTGTTGGTGTGGAGGCTCTGTCTCCTCTGTGGCTTTGCTTAAGGTTGGTGTGTCTCCTGCCCTCCCTGTGACCGACTTCTCTCCTCAGTGCCTGTCGCACTGTCTGAATCTCTGTCCCTCATCCGGTCTGCGTAGGTTTCTCTGTTTCTCTCCCTCTCTCTCTCTATCTGGGTCTTTGCCCTTCCCCCCACCCCATTCTCGGTCTCTATCACTCTGTCCAGGTCTCCGCACCCTCCACCAAGTCTCTGGTCCCATTTCTCCAGATCTCCTGCACCTTGGGGGCTCTGACACCCCCCCCAGGACTCTGTCTCTCTCCTCTGGGACTCTGTCCCCCTCTCCTCCTGGTCGCTGTACTCGTCTCTCTGAAGTCTCTGTTCCTCTGCTCTCTCTCTCTCTCTCTCTCTCTCTCTCTCTCTCGGACCAGCGCTATCTCTGGGTCTCTAGGCCCCTCCTCTGGGTTTTCTTTCTTTAGGACTCTATGGGTCTGCCTTTCTAACTGTATCTCTCGATGTCTTGGTCCCTGTCACAGTCTATTTCTCACTGTGTTCTCTGGCTCTCTCTGGCTCTTTCCTGCTCTCTCCCCACACCCATGCCTCTTTCAATCTTCCCTGCAGAACAAATAGGCTTTGCTGGTGGCAGGCAGCTGCGGCCAGGGAGTTACCAGGTTTAGTCAGATTGTTAAGTGAATCAGCAATCGGAGTCCTGGATATCAGGGAGGAGAGCTGGAGGCTCCAGATGGGAGAGAGAGGGGGTTGGGGTGGAGACCGAGACAGGGCATTGCTGAACCCCTTTCCCCAACTGCAGGAAAAGGCAGATCTTGGGGAGCTCAACTTCTCACTCTGCTACCTCCCCACGGCCGGGCGCCTCACCGTGACCATCATCAAAGCCTCTAACCTCAAAGCGATGGACCTCACCGGCTTCTCAGGTGGGTTCCAGGAGGTGCTGGGATCTGAGAAAGGAGCGTGTGGGGCCCTGGACTCCTGGGCCTGAGGGAGGAAGAGCTGGGGGCCTGGACTCCTGGGTCTGAGGGAGGAGGTGCCGGGGGCAGGACCCCTGGGTCTGAGGGAGGAGGGGCTGGGGCCCTGATTCTGGGTCTGAGGGAGGAGGGGCTGGAGGTCTGGACTCCTGGGTCTGGGGGAGGAGGGGCTGGGGCCCTGATTCTGGGTCTGAGGGAGGAGGGGCTGGGCGTCTGGACTCCTGGGTCTGAGGGAGGAGGGGCTGGGGCCCTGATTCTGAGTCTGAGGGAGGAGGGGCTGGGGGCCTGGACCCCTGGGTCTGAGGGAGGAGGGGCTGGCAGTCTGGACTCCTGGGTCTGAGGGAGGAGGGGCTGAGTGCCCGGACTCCTGGGCCTGAGGGAGGAGGGGCTGGGGCCCTGATTCTGGGCCTGAAGGAGGGGCTGGGGGCCCAGACTCCTGGGTCTGAGGGAGGAGGGGCTGGGTGCCCGGACTCCTGGGCCTGAGGGAGGAGGGGCTGGAGCCCTGATTCTGGGTCTGAGGGAGGAGGGACTGGGGGTCTGGACTCCTGGGTCTGAGGGAGGAGAGGCTGAGTGCCCGGACTCCTGGGCCTGAGGGAGGAGGGGCTGGGGCGCTGATTCTGGGCCTGAAGGAGGAGGGGCTGGGGACCCAGACTCCTGGGTCTGAGGGGTAGGGCAATGGGGGCCCAGACCCTTGGGTCGGGGGAGGAGGAGTCTGGGGTCCGGACTCGGGTCTGAGGGAGGAGGGGCTGGGGCCCTGATTCTGGGTCTGAGGGAGGAGGGGCTGGGGGTCTGGACTCCTGGGTCGGAGGGAGGAGGGGCTGGGCGTCTGGACTCCTGGGTCTGAGGGAGGAGGGGCTGGGCGTCTGGACTCCTGGGTCTGAGGGAGGAGGGGCTGGGGCCTGGACTCCTGGGTCTGGGGGAGGAGGGGCTGAGGGTCTGAACTCCTGGGTCTGAGGGAGGAGGGGGCTGGGGGTCTGGACTCCTGGGTCTGAGGGAGGAGGGGGCTGGGGGCCTGGACTCGTGGGTCTGAGGGAGGAGGAGTCTGGGGTCCGGTCTTGTGTCTGAGGGAGGAGGTCGAGGTCAGTGCTCTCGATGCCTGCCCCCAGACCCCTACGTAAAGGCCTCTCTGATCAGCGAGGGGCGGCGTCTGAAGAAGCGGAAAACCTCCATCAAGAAGAACACGCTGAACCCCACGTACAACGAGGCGCTCGTGTTCGACGTGGCCCCGGAGAGCGTGGAGAGCGTGGGGCTCAGCATCGCGGTGGTAGACTACGACTGGTGAGGGGCGTGGCCCGGGCGGGGGGAGGGGTCAGGGGGTGTGCCCGGGCCCGCCCCCTCCCTCCCCGGCCGCTCACCGCCGCTCCCTCCCCCAGCATTGGGCACAACGAGGTGATCGGCGTGTGCCGCGTGGGCCCGGACGCCGCCGACCCCCACGGCCGCGAGCACTGGGCGGAGATGCTGGCCAATCCCCGCAAGCCCGTGGAGCACTGGCATCAGCTGGTGGAGGTGAGCGGGGAGGCCACCCAGTGCCCCTGGCCCTCCATTCCCGCGCTCATGCAGTCATTCACGCCGAGCGTCCGTCTTTATGGGCTGCGGAGTCAGACCGCTTGGGCTGGAATCCCGGCTCTACCAACTTGAGCTGTGTGACTAAGAGCACGTTACTTAACCTCTCTGTGTCCCCTCAGTTTATTCTGCTGGGTGATGGGGTTGTTAATAGCATCTAAAGTTAGGATAGATGTGAGGATTCAGTGAGTTAATGCAGGATTAAGTGTCTGCCTCTCAGTAAGGGCTCGTCAAGGGGTCAGTTACTCTTGCTATTATTTCCCATGATGCTAAGCCCAAAGTAAAAGGGAAAAACTGAGTGATAAGATGGAGCAGGGTTGGGGATTTGGGGGGTTTGGGTTTGGTTTGGTTTAAAGCAGGCTGTAATTGAAAATCACTGGATTGTGGTTTACTGGGTGGGGATCAACAATTTTTTCTTCATAAGAAAATGAAGTCAAAATAGAACAGAACAGAAAATTTCACAGGGCAGCACCCATTGTAAGGATCATACCGTCTTTTCTTTCTTTCTTTCTTTCTTTTTTTTTTTGTCTTGTGGATTGTGGTCCAAAAGGCTTGGAAGTCTGGGAGGTAGAGGACATCTGGACAAGGGATGGGGGGTGCCATTTGGCTTAGGGTGTCCTGACAGGCCTCTCAGTGGAGGTGACATTTGAGCAGAAGCCTGGAGATTGAGAAGGAAGGGGCCTAAGTGAAGGTTTTGAGGTTAGGAGAAGCTCGAAGGGAGAGAGCACGGCTAGGCAGCTGGGTGTTTCTCCTAAGCAAGAAGAGGCAGGGGCAGGCCCCTGAGCCTGGAGCTGAGAGGGAAGGGGGAAAAGGGCAGATAATAGGAGGCCAGCAGGTCACGTGAGAACAAGGTTGCCATTTTTTTAAAGCTAAAAATCATTTATGATCATCACATCATCAAGAGAAATTCTCAGATATGGCCATTCTCTCATTTGAAACAAACAAAAAAAGGACAGAAGTAGATTTTGAAGATCCTATCCATGAATTTGCTGTCTTTAAAGCCAAGACAGTAAAATCATACTAAATTCTGTTTAGAGTATAAATAAACATTTAAACTTAATGTACTGTGAATTGCAACACACATACTCTTCATTGTTTTCAATATTTTAAAAATAATTTTAAATTTCCAGAAAAAAAATTACCCATAAAAATAAGGCTGCTTATTTTTCCCCTTTGTCTCAGGCTCTGATTTGACATGGGACTGACCTCTATTTAAAATTTGATATCTTGCTCATCGTGGATTTTTTTGGATTAAATCTGATCTTTAAAAATATTGCATTGCAATAGTAATTATCTTGAGTGCTGAGTTTGGATACACCTGAAATTTTGCACCCAGGGTGAACTCCTCCTGGATCTGACTGTAGCTCAGCCTCACTTTGGACTTTGCTTCCACGGTGAGGAGGGATTTTAAGCGGCAGAGCACAGAGCTCAAGTGTGAGTTTTGAGAAGACTGTGACTCTATTTAGAGAGACAGATGGCAGCTACTCTCTTCTTCCGCCACTCACTCTTCCCCTAATTTACTCACTCATCCCACAAACTTCTCCAGAAGCTCCCGTGCGCTATGCTCATGCTGGGCAATGCTGGGAGCACAGAGAGGAATGGAACCCTGGCTAAGTGGGGTCCTGACCCTGGCTTTCAGCCAATAGCACCATAGTGAATGGCCCCAGAGGGTCTTTCTACCCCCAGCACTGACCCTGCCCCTTCTCTGCTCACCACCCTCCCCAGCTCCCCAGAGCCTCCAAAATGGAGTCCAAGCTTCTTTGAGGCCCCTCTGAGGTTCTGCCCCATCATCTCTGCAGCCTCATCTCGCCTCACATTTCCAGTGACTTTTTCTTTGTGCCTCAGTTTTCTCATCTATAGAATAGGACTGTAATACCACTTGGCTCATCACTTCAGAGCTGAGTGAAAAAAGAGCGTTGTAAATGATGAAAACAGGTTTGATGTCTTACTATGTTGATTATTAGCGGTTGTCTTGCTCCTGTTCCCCCACGAACCTTCTGGATTTCCTTATTCAGGAAAAGACTTTGTCCAGCTTCACGAAAGGCAGCAAAGGATTGTCAGAGAAAGAGAACTCAGAGTGAGGGGTAAGGAACCCAGACCAGGGGAGGAAGGAGGTGGGGGTCCTGTACTCCTGGGTCCAAGAGAGGAGGGGCTGGGGGCCTGGATTCCTGGGTCAGAGGGTGGAGTGACAAAGCAAAGGACCAGGTCCCTGGGGTGTCGATGAAGGTACAGCAGGTCACAGGCCTGCTCTCTGCCATCACCGACATCTCCTCCCTGCCCTGTCTTGCAGGTCTGGCCTAGGCCCAGGATCGGACCAGGCCCCCTCAGGACCCCATCCCTTCCTGCCCGGACCGTGAATTCATCTCCTTGAAGCCATAACGTCCGAGCTTCGTGGTGCGGGGCAGCGCTGGGCCTGCCCGTCCTTCTACCCCGCTTGGCGTGAGGGTGGGAGGCAGGCGGGCCCGGCTCCCTGTTTCAGGGTGGGGGGCATTCAGTCTCTACTGTGTCTGTCTTCCCTTCCCCAGGGCTCCCCTTCCAGGCAAGGGGCCATGCATGTCTGGGGGACCCCAGCCCCCAAAACCCTTCGTCTTTCTGTCTGTCTCTTTGCTGTTTGTCCAAGACGGTGTCCCGACCCTCGTTCTCTCTATGAATGTCAACAGACCAATCCTCTGTACTCCCCCAGACACACACACACACACACCTGTGTCTACCCTTTCTGTTCAACACACCCTGCGTCTGGCCGATTCCCCCACTGCTGCTGCTACCAACACCAGAATAAACACACACCGTGGGTCTCACTCTACCCAGGGCTCCTGTTCTCTCTGGGACTGGGAAGCTGGGTTGGACCATCCTGGCTCTGGGTTCAGACAAATTTTTCATTCACTGGCTGGGTGACCTCGGGCAACTTAATTGATCTCTCGGAGCCTTAGTTTGTAAATGCTACATTTGCCAGGGCCGCTATGATTATAGGATGCAAAATGAACCCCAAACTATTGTAAGCCACAAACAAAACTGAAAGACCTTTGTACATGGTAAGTCTGAGCATACAGGAGGAATTCAGGCATGGTTGGATCAAGGTGTTCAAGGGACTCTGCCTAGCTCCTTAGGACTTCATTCTCACGCAAGTCTTTGCAATGGTAGTAAGATGGCCATTTGGAGCTCCAGGCTTATACTGCTGTATCTGTTATGATGGTTTCAGCTACATAAAACAGAATTCCAACAGAAAGAGCTGAAATGATAGAGATTTCTTTTGCTCACATAAGAAATGTTTCAAAGACACAGAGTCCCAGTGTTAGTTCAGCTGCTCGACAACATCAGGCACTGGGTTGGCATCTCTGAGATTCATTTTGCCTTCCCCTCATTAGTACAAACTGCAGCAACACCATGCCTTATGTTCTTACACGGTGGCGTCTAAAGTAGGAAATGTATACAGGGGCCGCTCCTTATGTGTTTCTCCCTAGAAGTGTTCTCCTTATTTCTCACTTACCAGAACTGGTTCAGTGGCCACCCTGAGTTGCAGAGCAGTCTGGGAAAGTGACCATCTTTGTGGGTTTTGCCAGTGAGGCAGCACAAAGAGGGGGATGATCATTGGGTAGGAAATTAACAGGACCTACTGTAATCATCCTCAGGGCAGATAATTTCAGAGGAAACAAAATTTGGGGTTCCCTCTCTCTCTGCCTCCATATCATTCAGGAAAAGGATTCTGATTGGTCCTGTCAGGGCCTTGGATGACCACTTCAGGCCAATCATATATCCAGTTGGCAAGCTTGCGCTTGGCACCTCCTCCCCGGATGGAGTCCTCCTCCCCTGCCCATCTCACTGGGATGGGCTCAGACCCCCTTGGGACCTCATCCCTTCCTGCCCAGCTGTGAATTCATCTCCTGAAGTCATAAGCCTCTTTAGTAGAGAGCATAGGGATCCCTCGATCAACCCCAATGGAATCACATGGCAGTGGGCAGGGTATAGTCCTCCAAAGTAGTAGATGTCCACTGCATTCCATGCTTGGCTCTTCGGCATTAATTCACACCCACGTGCTCATATACACAGTCTCAAAAATGGTACAACCACTATATTAGTTCGCTATGGCTGCTGTCATGAATTACCACAAACTGGCCAGAAGTGATTCTCTCAAAGTTCTGGAGACCAGAAGTCTGAAATCAAGGTGTCAGCAGAGTTGTTTCTCCTGGGGCTCTGGGATCTTGTCCCATGCCTCTCTCTGAGCTCCTGGATGCTGCTGGCAATCCTTGGCGTTCCTGAGCTTGTAGATGCATCCCTCCAGTCTCTGCCTCCATCTCCACCTTGTGCCCACTGTGTCTCTGGGTCTTAACTCTCCCTTTGCCTTTCTCTCTCTCTCTTTTTAATTTTTTTAAGATTTTATTTATTTATTTGACAGAGAGAGAGAGATAGCGAGAGCAGGAACACAAACAGGGGGAAAGGGAGAGGGAGAAGCAGGCTTCCCGCTGAGCAGGGAGCCCGATGTGGGGCTCGATCCCAGGATCCTGGGATCATGACCCCAGCGGAAGGCGGACGCTTAACGACTGAGCCACCCAGGCGCCCCTCTCTCTCTTTTTTTAGAACACATATAGCATTGATTTTTTTTTTCATTGAACTCCAACAAGGGGTACATTTATTGTCTTTTCTCAAGGAGTGAGGAGCACTTTTCAAACCCTATAAATGTCAAGGTTATAAAGATACAATCCCATTTGTAAAGTTCTTCCAAAGATAAATAGGGCAGCCTATTAGCATCCACAAGAATTGCAAGTTAATTTTAACCTAATAAATATCCTGAAAATTCCCAGAAGGAATTTGCCAAAATTCCTTGCCAAAGAAACTTCTTCTTTAAATTAATGTCACACTCTACCGGTTTCTTGGGCATGATGTTAGCTTGCTTTTCTTGCAATCTGTGATCTTGCCACTACCTTCTGCAAGAGTTCATCTGGTACCCAAGTGAGCTCCGTAGTCAGACGGCCACGTTTCAAATTCCTCCTCCACACATATTAGTTCTGGGACTTTGGGCAAAGTGTAGAACATCTCAGTGCCTCAATTTCTTTCTTCTTTTTAAAATATTTTATTTATTTATTTGTTTGTCAGAGAGAGCACAAGCAGGGGGAGCAGCAGAGGCAGAGGGAGAGGCAGGCTCCCCGCAGAGCAAGGAGCCTGACATGGGACTCGATCCCAGGACCCCGGGATCATGACCCAAGCCGAAGGCAGACACTTAACCAACTGAGCCACCCAGGCGTCCCAAATGCCTCAGTTTCTTTAACTGTAAGATAACGGTGATAATGCCTACTTCACAAGAATGTTACGCAGATTAAATGAAAGAATGCACATGAAACACTTAGCAAGTACTTGGTGTATAGTAACATGACTCGAATGGTAGCTATTAATATTGATAATAATAATGATGATGATAATTGCTAATAATTATCATATATTAGAATATATTTGGGCATTAGGAATCTTCATAATCATTTGAATATTGACTGACTTAATATATAAGTGTCAGCTGTTCCAGAAGACAGCAAGATGTTTCAGTGCAGGAAAACGTAAACAGGACAATTTTTTTCACCAGTTTACTTTGAACAGACATAACTTGGTTTTAATTGTTCCTGTGTCTTTTTTTTCCTGCCTTTCTTTTTTTTTATTATTTTTTCTTTTTAAATTTTATTTTATTATGTTATGTTAGTCACCATACATTACATCATTAGTTTTTGATGTAGTGTTCCATGATTCCTTGTTTGTGTATAACACCCAGTGCTCCATGCAATACATGCCCTCCTTAATACCCATCACCGGGCTAACCTATCCCCCCATCCCCCTCCCCTCTAAAACCCTCAGTTTGTTTCTCAGAGTCCATAATCTCTCATGGTTCATCTCCTCCTGCCTTTCTCTTAAAAGAACACCAATCATTGGGGTTAGGGAATCACTCTTAATTCAGGATGATCTCATCTGGAAATCCTTGACTTAACCTGATCTGTAAAGATCCTTTTTCCAAATAAGGTTATGTTCACAGGTTTTGGGGGATTAGGACATGGACATTGTCTTTTGGGGGCCATCATTCCATCCACTACAACCACCTTGAAGAACAATTTATCAGTTTTTTACAAAGTCAACACAAACTTACCATGTGACTCAGAAATCCCATTCCTATTTAACCATGAGAAATAAAAGCATATGTCCCTGCAAATATTCACAGCAACGTTATTCATAATAGCCCCAATTTGGAAAACTAGATATAACTGAAATGTCCATCTATGGGAATGGATAAACAAATTGTATGTCCACAAGATGGACAACTACTCAGCAGTAGAAAGAACTACCTACTGATATGTGTAGTAGATAAAGGTAAATCTCAAAAACAGTATGTCTTGTGAAAAAAGCCAGACACAAAAGAGTACAAACAGCATGATTCCATTTCTGTGAAATTGTAGACAATGGAATACTAATCTATAGGGACAGAAATCGATCGGGGTTGCCAGGGGCTGAGGGAGTGGGGATGCAGGATTGATTACACGTAGACACAAAGGAACATTTTGGGATCATGGAACTGTTCTGTTTCTTGACTGCGGATGTGATCACACACCATACACATTTGTCAAAACTCATTGAACATAAATGCATCGACATAAAGTTGATGCATTAAAAACAACTTAAGTGTGGTAAGATACACATATCATAAAACTTATCTTAACCCTTTATAAGTGGACAGTTCAGTAGTGTTAAGTACATTCACATTGTTGTGCAACCAATCTCCAGAACTCTATCTTGCAGAATGGAAGCTTTATACCCATTAAACAATAACTTCCTGTTACTCCCTCCTCCCAGCACCCGGCACGACCATTCTACTTTCTCTATAAATCTGATTACTCTAGATACTTCATATAAGTGGAATCATACAGTACAGTCCTTCAATTGTAACAAATGTACCACAGTAATGCAAGATGTTAATAGGGGGAATTAGGGGTAGGCCTATGAGGGTGTAGGGAATTAGGGTACACCCATATGGTATGTGGTCCCCCAATGATAAATGGGAACTCTGTACTTTTTGTTCAATTTTTTCTATAAGCCTAAAACTGCTTTAAAAAAGTGAATTGATTTTTTAAAAAAGATTTTATTTATTTATTTATTTGAAAGAGAGAGTGAGAGAGCACGAGCAGGGGTAGCAGCTGACGGAGAGGGAGAAGCAGGCTCCTTGCCCAGCAGGGAGCCCAATGTGGGGCTCCATCCCAGGACCCCAGAATCATGACCGAAGCCGAAGGCAGACGCTTAACCGACTGAGGCACCCAGGCACCCCAAAAGTCAATTAATTTTTAAAATCATAGATAACACATGCCAGTCGGGCAAAAACAACAGGTGTCCATGATACAGGTCCTTAGCTGCAGTAGGTGTCCACTCTAATCGTTTGCATGTCTGGGTTGCTTATGGAGATTAGAAGTCATAATAAAGGTGAATTTCCTTTGCATATTGAGACCAAGGTCATTCATTATTCCTGGGCACACCGTTCCTTTTCTCCTCTGATAGCGTTCTCTAGGCCTGCCTTTCGACTTTGCCCGTGAAAAGAGATGTAGCCAATCAAGAGTGGCTCACTGGTGACGTCACCAGTCACCAAGGCCTCCAAGGATCCAGCGCACCGTGGCGCCCTCTGGCGGGGAAAGGGAGGCTGTGTCTGAGACAGCCAATCGCGTTCGCTGACTCCGGCAGGGATGCCGGCCGGGTGTTACACACTTCACACCCCTGGTGACTCAAGTCACTTTCCGTCTCCACGTTGCTTGTGGAAAAAAGCCCCGCCAGGAAA